AGATGATCATCTCCTGAGCTAAGGATAGGGATCCTCCTGACCAGCCCATCTGGGCCGTTCAAATTTAATCCAACAGCTCCAAACAGGAGGGCCGTCTAAAAGTTATAATAATTACAACCGTTTGATTAAATTTGAACGGTCCAGATGGGCTGGTCATGAGGATCCCCATCCTGAGCTTAGGAGAGGATCCTCTTCCAGTAATATATTGTATTGTATTGGGTTGGCTCCAAATGTCCCCACCACAAAGTGCCGACCCCTTTGCCCTAAACCTTCAAAATGTTCCAATTCCATGTTTTGTTTTTGATGAAAAAAGAGTATTCAATAAAGAACACCGATTACAACCAGTTTGCATATAATCAAATATGTTTTATTATTTATCTAAACAATACATAGTTGTGGATCTTCATTAATCATGTGACGATCTAGTGGAAGTCGAATCAACATTCTTCAACGAACCAACATCCAGCTCAATGCCATAAGCAGGTTTTAGGCATCTGTCGTAAAGACTAACCTCCCAATGATCATGCCCGTTAAAAAGGGTCAGCTACCATTAAAAATAAAGACAAAGATATTTTCATACAGAACATAATCCAAAGTTAGTTTGTCGGTCACATCAACCATTCATACAATGCTATTATCTATGCAACAGTTGTGGAAATTTACATACAGATAGATGATCTATCTAGACTCTAGCTAGCATCTATTTTCCAAGGAGTGCCAAGAAGAACAAGAAGCTGAAGAAAATAGCACACATAGCTTTTTTCTTTTCTTTTCTTTTTAATAGAGCAACTGAAAGTACCTTTGTAATCATTATCAAATTCGTAGAGTATTACACCATGCAACCTGCCTTGAGAATTTGAGGGCACTAGGCGAGTCTTCAAGTGGGAATCCAGAATTCTCTTACTTCTGCCCATTTATCCACTAACATTTGTAAAAAAAGTATTAGCTAAATACATTAAAAAGTCTACTTCTACATCAAATATCAGTAAAAATTAATATCAAAAGAAGGAAGACATACAAACATTACTTAAATGGATAACGTTAGGAAGACTACAATTTTAAAACAAATTTGCAAACCAAATGAGGTGTCACCAATAAAAAACACGCACGTTAAGACACTTAATTAATAATCCAAATAATCAACAACCACATAATCTGGTTAAGAAAATTTAGTCTTCCTAACACTAATCTACTTGAAAATTACACGTCTCACACTAATAGATGCAAAAGTAATGGTTATGTTTGTATAATCTAATTTTTCAACCAAACTCTTTTTTCAATGGATAAAATACTTAAACCGTTAAAATCCCTCACCCACATCGCCATTTGCCGCCAAATCTGAGCTCTCATTCATTTCAAGTCTCTCTGTGTGTGACGACTGCCTCTCTCTCTCTCTCTCTCTCTCTCTCTCTCTCTCTCTCTCTCCCCCCCCTCTTCCCCCCCTCCTCATCTTCTTCTTTACCACATTTTATAATAAGCAATGATAGTGCGGTCTGAAAACCCTAATTTCCCGTTGGATTGAATTCCGGATTCATTTTCTGGTTTTTTTTTTTTTTTTTTTTTAAATTATACTGCAGCAGTATCTAAATGTTATTTTCCTTTCCAGCAGGAAGTTGCAAACCGCAAATTTCGAGCTATCGAGATTGATATTGAGGACTTGTTCAGTGTAAGTTCCGCCTATGCCTATTGTTGCCAAGGCCTAAATTATGACTATTGTCTTTGTGAACGACTTGTTAATTTTCTTTTACGTCATCAATTGTTAATTTGTGTTATGCAGTACACAGAAATGAATGAAGAATTCCGCAATCGAGTTGAAGAGAACACTCGGGCGTTATATTGGTGTATTTGCTGATGGTATTAATGGGCTCATGCCGGAGCCCACGGAGGCATTTACAGATCATGATCATGACGATGACTCAAAAGTCTGATGATGGACCAGAGAATATGGATGGTTCGGATCCACATCAGAAGATGCCTCCTGAAGTCAAGCGCTACTTGTGAGTTCAAAGCAAAATCCTAATTCCTATTGCGCTTGTTTGAATGAGATTTCGGTTTACAAATTACATGTGTGAAAATTCACTGAATTGTGTGGTCGTAACGGATCATATGCATTTTAATCTTGTTTTGACTAGCTAGTATCTCATGCCAGAAGTTACACTGCATAATCAGTCGGTGGACATGTATGGTAACACTGATACATTTCATGTTTCGCTTTAAACTTTCTGCTTACTGGTTCTTTATTCATGAATTAGTAAATGAATGTCGATAGATATTAGCTAGCTTGGTTTGTAGTATGTGTTTTGATAATATGGTGACATTTCGTACAATGTAAGTTCAACAGAGGTTTATCTCAGATTAATATTGGAAACTTGCTTTTACCTCTATTACATGTCGGTTGTAGTTTATTTACGAGTTTCATATGCTTCAACTTCCATTGTAGCAAAGCTTTCTATGCAGGTTTGTGTTCATTCTTAATTCACTAGTTCTTTTTTCTTCTTTTTTTTTTTCTTTTTTTTTTTCATATGTATTCCAGCGAAATTTACAAAAGAGCATCTTTAAATTTTATTGCCACCTACAAACCCGTACATTTTCAACATATTTCAAACCATCTCTTTCTCTCCCTCTTTGGAGTATAATTGATCCAATGGCACTGGGTCTCTTTCTCTCCCTCTTTCTCTAACTTTTGGTAGGGGATTTTTAGCTGAATTTGAATCTAACAAACTTCGTCCAGGGAGCCAATTCCTAGTGATGGAGGGAGTACCTCGACGTCCGGGGAAAGGAAAAAGGGAAACCCACGAAATTCAAACTCGAATTTCACCCAAATTCAATGAGATTCATTTGGAATTTCAATGATTTTGCTTCAAAAATCACGACACCATGTCGGAATTTGCCAGAAAGTTGCATGGCAAGGCCATGGTCTCGTTGCAAGTGAGTTAGGGTTTATGGGTTGGACGCCATAGGTGTCGAGTTTTCCAGTGGAGCCTGATAGCTAGGTGGGTGGTTGAAGAACCATTAATTCAATGCATATTTATTCAGATAATTTAATGCATGGACGTATATTTGATGCAATTCATGGCAATATCAAATTCACATAATTCAACAATTATGGATATAATGCATACACAATTCATGTAGAATCTAAAATTCGAAAAACGTAGAGTTGGGTCATGCATTATGGTGAATGTTCATGCTATCAAGGCTGCAAAAACATCGAGATAAAACCGTTGTTTTGAAAGAACTTGATTGCGTGATGATATTGATGAACTGGTTTGATGCAGAAAACTTCAACATCAGATTCCTAAGCACAGCGGTAGAAGCGTGCTGATAACGTATTGTGGCCTATATTTAACTAACAGGGAAAGGGGGCCAGCCACACAGAGAAAATATAGAGAGAGATGTGTTAGTAGGGTTGTGTAGAGAATGTGTTATTCCCCTACGCAGTGCCTTTATTTATAGTAATAAGGGAGGGAAGAATTCTTCTCCTTCAAGAAATACAAGTCCTATTAGGGAAAAATAACTAATATAAAATATAATCTAAGATTTACATAATCACATTCAAACACAAAGTTTGTAACAGGTCTAGTAATATAAAGTATTTTCTTTGAATTTTCATTACGTGCCTCTTTTGTTTCTCAACACCATTATATACCGGTGAGCTAAATACGACCATTAAACAATTGCTCTCCTTTAGGTTCAATATAACCAAGGCAAAATTCTTTCCATATGATCAAAACTAACCTAGTGAGCAGAAGATCAAATATACATATTTATCTGAATCATAAATTGTTGTAGATCTTCATTTAATCCTTGGCTTATTTATTCAAGAGGGAGACTTCCCACGATTTGATTGCCTTATCTTTTTCCGGCTACAACTTCATCATCGTATGTTAAAATCTTATATTGTCATCATTCATTTTGGTTTAGAATTACAATATAGGAATTAATTAACATGAGTGAATTGATTCAATTTTTCTTATGATGGTTTCAAATTTCCCACCCCTCTTTCACTCAGATTCTCCCCTCTCAAAATTTCAAAACTCAAACAAATAAATAATGAAATTTCATATTAGAGAAACTTGCTAGAGGAAGGACGCCGAGCATGAAGAATGCAACCTGGAGAACAAGAGAGATCGCTGGGCCGGAAGAACGCACCTGGAGAACAAGAGAGATCGCTGGGTTCTGGTGTGGATTGGATTATGGGAAAAGTCACTTTTCGCATGGGAAAAGTCACTTTTATAACAGAAAATGGTAGGATTGGAAAATTGAAAGTTTATTAAAGGGGTCAAATATTTTTTTAAAGGGATAACTTATAAATCTGTTGGGGTCAAGGGAGCCCAATAAACCCCACCGCCAACACCCCACCCCAACACCACCCCCCCGGGGGCATTGGCTCCGCCGCTGATCCAATGTAATGAAAATATTCCTTGTCCTTGTTTGGCAACACGAAAGCTTGCCCGGGATCACTTGCCAGGCATATTCTAGCAAACAAAGGTGAAAACCTTGGCGAACTCGATTGTAAAACCAAATTTGCACGTAAAATGAACACCACGGATTTCTTAGGATGACGATGTACGACACTGGTTTCCCTCGCTCAATTGGCAGCATTAAGTAAACCTTTTTCGTGTCGTCTGCAGGCAACGGGCCGGGGTTGCCCTTTTTCGGGAGACAGCAGACCAGAATTCCACGGTGACTTGCTGCGGGTTCTCCAGCATGAGCCCGACAACGGTGAGGGGCTTATTGAACTAATGCACAGCGCCGTTGGTCAAAATATGACTTTTCCGGTGGGCATGAGATTGCCCGTGGGAGATGGAATTGCCCGTGATGATGAAGTAAACATTAAGGGCTCAAAGGCAAACGAGGAGGATTTGACGATGAGTTGAAGGAACTCGGGGGTTTTACTCACATTCTATATAGTGGGCTTCTTTTTAGCTTAGCTTAGCAAGGACTAAGGAGCCTAGGATAGGATAGGTTTCATATGCTGGTTAACCAGCTGAAGAAGAAACAGGAAAAAGCGTTCCAATTTACAATCCAAATTCATCGAGCAACAAAACCTACTGACAAAATCTCGCTCGTTCAATGAAAGAAACTATCAAAAAAAACTTTTGTTCCTTTCTTAGCCTGAATGTTCAAAATCTTATTCACATCCTTGTGCTCTTCGACCAAATGATCCTGCATACGATTGAACAATAAAAAGTCAATGCAAGCCTTCATTACCAATTTACTACCACACAAAAATTATAAAAACGCTTTCATGAATTTTTATCAAAGTTACAAGTGGCTAATACATTTCTTCCCAATTTGTTCTTCCACCAATGTATACGGATCCACCATATATGCACAAAAACGATTGTAGCCAAAACATATTTCACACATATATGTTCATTCATCTGTTCATATATTTTCTTGTATGCATGCATCAATATGCAGAGAAACTTATGCAAGTTCTATTTGATATAGATTTAATCGCATGCCCATAATTACAACGTCTACGCACGAATCGATAAGGAATCTGTCACATGCTTAAAACTGTAATAATACCGTAAGCCTCAAATCCCATCCCAAACTAATGTTAGCATAAAACCCAAAAACCAGTTAATGTATTCACAGTAATTGACATTCGAAAAATCTATGCATGCTCACACATTTATGTTTGCTTTATTACAAGAAAATTAAGCAACGCAAAACTCTTGTTGATCTGTAATTAATCAAAGGCCCAAGTTTTGCAGATCTGGAAATTTAGTCAAATCTTCTTTGATCATCGTTTTTCACTACCAACACTATGTCATAATTAATTTTTTACTCATGCATTTCACATTTGAGAGTCCTCCAATTTTACCTTTTAAAATGGGCACTCAAACGGTTCCGGCAGGGTACCATTCTCAGAAAGTGCAGGTGGTCCTCCGTTCCCGTAGCCGTTACTGTTCCCGTTCCCGCTCCCGTTTCCGTTGCCTTTCCCGTTGCCGTCGCCGCCGCCGTTTCTTTTCCCGTTGCTGTTCCCGTTTCCGTTGCCTTTCCCGCTGCCGTCGCCGTCGCCGTCCCCTTTCCCCTTCCCGTTGCTGTTGCCGTTTGCCTCCTGCTTCGATGGTGCTGGAGGACGGAGAGGAGGAGGAGGGGACCCCTTTGCGAGTCCATATTTCGCGTAATGGTCTGCAACCAGTTCCAGGTACTCAAGACGAGTTGTGTTCTCGCCGGACTGTCGAAACAGGGAAGCAAGGTGCCGCTGACTCTGCGGGCCGAAGCAACAGCCTTCACCTCTCAAAGCTTCCTTCAGACCACTCTCCTTGGCCTTGAACAGTGCTCGGCCGGATTTCCAGAAGAGGTCTGCACTGGCTGCTATGATGTTGACTTGGGAGAGCCAATCCATAATCCCAGGGGGGTTAGCCGCCATCATTTTCTTGGCTCTCTGTTCGTCCTCTGGATGGATGCAAAACCGGATGACATGTTTGGGGTGGGAAGGGGAAATGTCGTACTCCACTTTCACCTTTGGTTCTGCGGCGGCAGCTGAGGTGCCTCCCGTTCTGGCTCCCGTCAACCTCTTGAAGATGCTGCCGGCGGACCGAAATGCCCTCATTTTCTTTTTGTGCTTTGGATAGCTGTGAGAAAGGAGGGAGTGAAAATTAAAAGGTATGTGAAAATTAAAAATGCACACCCTTCTTTTTTTTTTTTTTTTTCTTTTTTTTTTAAGGAAGATAGTACACTCCTTTAAAGCATGACAGACAGATTAGCTGTTTCCTTCAAACCCCGTATCAGCGTACAATTTCATTTTTTGTGTGGGCCCCAGTCGCTTTTCAACCTCTGCGTGGTTAGTGTGCCCCATTCATACATGAAGCCAACTCCTTGATTTCGTTATGATTTCCGTGGATTACTAGGCATGCAAAAAATTGAGAAAAACAAATAAATACATAAATATCTTTTACCAAGGTTGAATTATTTCTCCACACCAAAGTCATCCCAATGCAAACTGAGGCCTAACGCTGAAATAAAATGAGGCATGCATATACTTTAGTACCTTAATGTGAATTTTTTTTTCCCCACAACGATATCAATTTAAGGTACGTCACAATGAATTCATGAGACTGAGATATTTTTGTTTCCTCTTCTTTTTGATCAACAATACAATAAATGATGAAATGTATGAAGTCTAATTTAAGTGAGATCTAAGACGAATGCGTTGTTCGCCTTACCTCTAGTTCACACCCAATGAGAAAAACATATTCACATCTGATACGTAGGATTTTAGACACGTATCTATTATCCTACGTCTTAATTCGACGGTACAAACACACAAAACTATACATGTTGGACAAGAGGTGTCCAAAATCATGTTATATTTACTAAACTCTAATCAATAATCAACAAATTAAGATATTAAAAAAAATCGCGTAAATACAAAATACGCAATTAAATAATGAAATTCGGGGACGGGATTTCACATTTTTCCTCTCATACACTCATTTCAATTTTCGAGAATGAATTGAAGAATATAAATGGACAAAAATTAACAGGAGTGAGTAAGAAGTAAAAAAGAATGTGCAAATAGCAAACCTCTTACGATATCCCCAGCTGGTTGAGATATGTTGTAACTTGTTTACCTTGTTGAGTTTTAACTAGATGAGCAGTGGTTACTGGTTGGCTTCAATAAATATAAAACAAATGAAACTTTTATGCGGTTTCGCTATCTATCTCAAGCACGAAAAAATATTACAAATTAAAAATCAAATAGTTACTAAACAGGTCCTTTAATTTGGTTTTGCTCATGTTCACTATTGTCTCTCCGGCATCTAGACTTTAATTATTTTTATATGTCATCAAGTTAGGCAAGGCGAAATGTTGCGTAGAGTTGGTCGTTTGGAAAGTTGACTAGTAGTGAAGGGCGATGTTGGAATGGACTGGGATATGGCGGGTGGCTAGCTGCTAGTATGTTCCAGTGTAATTACCAAAGGACCGGCAACAATTATTTTTCTAGGGGAGAACATTATTAAATTTTTCATAGTTCTTTGATTACATAAACAATTCGTAACCAACTCATGATTTTGATTTTAATTACGGCAAATTAGTAAAGGTGTCATAACTATTTAACTAGTGTCAATCGTAGTTTTAACTTCTTCTTTCTTTCTTAGAAATAAATCATTATTGAACATGTATCCATAAATTTTTATTTTTGAGTTTTCGAATGAATTCTTCTTGGCGCGTTTGATGTTTCTGGGTTAGAATACCCCGCTCCTTCAAACCCGCCATTAACAGATCAATTTCTTATTTTATGTGGGCCCTAGTCACGTTTCCGCTTCTTTATAGTTAGTGTGCACATGAATAGTTACAGTCTGTACATACCAATACCAACTCTTTATTCTGATTATGATTGCATTGGATTAGTAATCACTCTAAAAATTACAATGTTTAGTGGCGAGCACAGTTGAACGAGTAGAATAAATGTGGTGGTGCAATGCATGTCGAGTGCGCTGCTAACTTCTTTACTTAAGCAATTACGACTGATGAATTTTTTTGTTTTTTCCTTCTTCTTCTTCAAAATTTTAATGAACTTTTTATTTGTCAAATTGTGATTTCTATTCATGTTGCATAAGAAAATCAAAAGTATATACGTACATGCATACACATACCATCGCGTGGATTTACGCGAAGAAGGTTTGTCGTGTGAAAGAGGTGCATAAGAAAATAAAAATTTTAATGAACTTTTTATTTGTCAAATTGATGATGGCCTCTCTCCTCAGTGTCTTATTCATTCATTATGAATGGTTGCCCGAGGGGTTATCTCCAGGCCGGCCCTGATATTTCAGGGGTATGTGCGAAAGCGAATTGGAGGCCCTAAAAATCACTAAGAATTTTATATTTTTTGTTCAAAAAAATAATTTTATTTTTCAATTGAGCTTCTATAAATTCTAATAGCACAAACAAATTTAACAAATCAACAAAATTTAACAAATCAACAAGTGGAAAGATGGCGTATTGTTTTTCCTTAACTATTTATAAGGGTTAGGGTTTGGATTTTCATGTTATTGTGTGAAATTTTTATATTATTTTGTGGAAGCTTATGCGTTTAATAAAAATAAACTGAAAAGATGATGGAGACGAGTTTTGAACCCCTTTCCTGAGCCACTGTAAAGAAGCAATAATACCATTTGTGCTAAGACTCAAGTTTGTAATATTCTACACATACTACTAAATATACGTAAATGCATGCAAATTTGAAAAATCGGGGACCCTTCCGATTTGGGGGTCCTGTGCGATGGCACCTGTTGCACCCACTCAGGGCCGGCACTGGTTATCTCCACTCATCTAGGGGCCTCCACCAAGTTGATCCTCTCTCACCCTACCTCTTTCTTATATGTGCGGAATGCCTCTCAGCCCAAATTGCTAAACTCGAGTAAGATGGTTTGATCTGTGGAGTGTCTATTTGCCCTAGGGCTCCACCTTTAAGCCACCTCCTATTTGCTGATGACAGCATGTTGTTTTGCCGGGTTAATGTATCCGAGTTTGTCCATGTCACAAATGCTCTCCGTGCTTATGGAGTGGCCTCCGGGTAGAAAATCATCTTGGTTAAGACTGAAGTGTGCTTCGGTAGGGATGTCAAATCACCTGTGAAAGGCCGGCTGAACCAAATACTGGGAGTTCATTGTGTTTCCAGGCACGAGAAATACCTGGGCATGCCCACCCTTGTGGGTCGCATCAATAGTAATTGTTTCGGCTACATCAAGGAAAGATTATGGAAGCAGCTTCAAAACTAGAAAGGTAAACTCCTTAGCGCAGCGGATAAGGAAATTCTGGTGATGTGGCCCAAGCAATCCCGACTTTCATCTTGTGTTCCGTTGTATCCGTTTGTTTTAGTTTGTTATCATGTATCGCTTAATATATTTAGTAGGGAAATAAACTCTTTTTCTCCATCTTGTGCTCCGCTGTATCTATTTGTTTGGTTTGTTGCCTAAATGTAAGGTTTTAAAAATGTATCAAATTTATCATATTTGTTAAAAAGAGAATTTTTCAAACCACATTATTGCTAGCTCATTATGAGGTTTAGGCCACTTCTCTACCCCCTTAGTGTAGATCATACCGTCAAAAAAAAAAAAAAAGAGAGAATTTTTCAAATTTAAACTAACGCGGATTGAGCGAGACTGAAATTTGGTTATGAGGTGCTTGAACTCCTCCTTGTGTGCCTTGTGGTTTAGGCCAATGAAATCTCAGCGAAACCGAAATTTGGTTATGAGGTGCTTGACTCCCCTACCCCCTTAGTATTTCATTCTAAGCGCTTATTCTGTTTACTATTTCAAAAAAAATTTCTTGTTTTGGGTACTTCAAATTTGCCTATTGGTGGTGTTGGTTTCCTTGCTTTGCTTTTGGAACCTCAAATTCCCATATAAAGGGTGGAAGGTGAGGATGCGGACGCCATTAGCCGCTGCCAACGATGAACTTATCGAACCTTCTCGACTCGACCTTTTCAGGTAGAGAAAGAGAGAGGTCGATATTATATTGTATTGTATGGGGTTGGCTCCAAATGTCCCCACCACAAAGTGCCGAACCCTTTGCACCAAACCTTCATAAGGTTCCAATTCCATGTTTTGTTTTTGATGAAAAAAGAGAATTCAATAAAGAGAGTGTCTCCGATTACAACCAGTTTGCGTACAATCAAATATGTATTATTATTTATCTGAATAATATATAGTTGTGGATCTTCATTAATCATGTGACGGTCTAGTGGAAGTCGAATCAACATTCTTCAACGAACCAACATCCATCTCAATGCAACAAGCTCGTTTTAGGCATTTGTCGTAAAGACTAACCTCCCAATGATCAGGCCGTTAAAAAGGATCAGCTGCCATTAAAAGAAAAAAGACAACGATATTTTCATACAGAACATAATCCAGAGTTATTTTGTCAGGTTTCGTCAACCATTCATGCTATGCTATTATATATGCAACAGTTGTGGAAATTTACGTA